CCTGAGGAAAAGCTACAGAAACGTTGCTCACCTTGAGAAGTAAGCTCTCAGGGCAGGTCCGTGTTCCGCCAAGTTGCCACAGAACATGAACTAGGTTGTGACGCTCGCCATTCGATATGGAGCAAAATGGGAAACCATTGAACTACTTACCCCCAAATGAAAAAGAATAAAACGAATACAAAAGAAAAGGGAAAATCACGACAAGACAGATGGCCCCCGAAATCTTACTTACATTGGGTGAGGATTCCGGTGAGGGCATTTTTAAAGTTCTCCTTGGCCTCCTCCATCTCCTGCTCGTGCGTGGCTTTCTCGTTCATCAGCCGGCGGACGTGGCTGTTGGCCGACTGCACCATGGAGTAGAACTGGTTGGCCGATCGCCGGTTCACTTCGCCTCGCTCGATCCAGGACAGCAGCACCGTGATGGCCTCCGAGAACTTGCTGTCGTCTGGAAACGGAAAACCGCCAAGGACAAATCACGCCACGGCAAGAAAACACGCTCGGCGTGGGCTCCTCTCAAAAGGCAGAGCGCCGCCCAACCTGATGGGCTCGTTTTCCGAATCTGACAGATTGGTTCTCCCGAGACTAACCATTCTGTCATCACTTAGCTTCTCCTTTCCCACCAAACTCCCTGGCATCCTAGACACACGGGAAACAAAGGGACATCCATCCTTCTCATCTGCCAATTGCTGAGCCCAGTTTTACACCCGTCCTGGGCATTCTTTGTAATTTGACACAATTTCATTCTTCCTCCAAACCCCGATTTCTCTTTCTTAAGTCTAGGTAAAAAACCATTAGCCCCATTCATTTCTTTACTCTTTCATCAGAAGTAATTATCCAGCAATACCAGTTTTTTGACTTACAGAATCAGCTGGGTTAGTGTCAAACTGTGGACAACAGATTAAATTACTTTAAAACCAGTTGTAATATAAGATATTGTTCTTGAGGTCGTAGCAGGAAGTCAAGTCCTGTTCTACGACAGTTCAAAACTATTTTCATTTTAGGTTTAGTGTAACATTTTATTAGGCTGAAAAATAGAATATTCCCTTGTTTTCAACAAAAGAGGACCTGGGTAGTCAGTATTTGCCGGGGAAGGCTCTGAAAACCTATTTAACCTGGTTTAAGGCATGTATGTGGTGGGGGAGGGGGAGGGGAGTGGGGAATGAGGTTCTGCTGGTGAATGTGTGATAAAGTTTATTTCAAAGAAAAGAAATAGACTTGCCTGTTTGGAAATGGTTGCTGGAACAGACCTGTGTTGTATGGCTTGGAGGTGGAGAAAAAGCAAGTTTGAAGGTGATTAAGTTAATTAGAACTGGAAGTTATATGTCAGTTATTACAACATTAATCGGCCCTACTGCTCATTCATATTTTCCAGGCAAGCTTACAAGGAGGGGACTTTCACTGGTATTTTTCTACCCCTGGAAAATGTGATTTAAGAAAAATATTCTACGTTTTTCAAGTAAACTGGATAGAGTCTGAATTCCAAAAATAAGGAGCAAAATTAGAATAGAAGATTCAGATTCTTACTCATTTGACAACTACTGAGCCCCTACTATGTTCCCTCCACTGAGGAATATCAGAGACATCCTCATGCGTTGTGCATGTGTGTGTATGCATGCAGCATATGTTATTATATAGTGTGTATATACTGTGTACTCATCCTATATACACATATACACACATAGACACATACATATATACACTCCAGATGAACAGATAGAGGATGATTCATATTTTGTAAAGGAGTTTTATTTTATTTTATTCTCCAGATGTTTTGGAGTCAACTATTGTTAGAATTTTACCCATCACGCAAAACCTGCATTTGTGGAGTGCTTTGTGAACAGAGTGCTGTAGAAATATTGTGAGTACCTTTGTTCCCAGAGGCCCCCTCCCAGACAGGGCACAACTGCACTGCTGTGGCTGTTGCTTGCCCGGGAGGTACACACACTGCATGAAGGGGTAATCAGCCTAACCAGTGCGCGGGGAGTGTGCTCTGCCTTCTCCGGGAGAGAAGCAGCTATGATCAAGGCGCTATCTCTCTGCCACCATCCAGGCCCTCCCCTGCGGTGGCAGAGGCAGTCTGGGCTGGGGGATCAATGCTCTTTCTCTGTGCACACCTGCCCCCTCTTCCCTGGTACTTTTGCCAGAGGAGATAACTGGCCTGGAGAATGCCCACAGGGCACCCTGCGAGTGAAAGACTCACATTTTCTTAAAAATCTCAACCCACAGGGACAGAACACACTTGTTCAGCATCTTAGCTGGCTCATACGATTTTGTTAACTCTGGAATTTCAGTCTAAGTTCAGCCCTCAGTGAACTTCAGCTGCAATGGTTTCTTATCTCATTTTGGGGACCTGAGCGGCTTGTATAAGATAAAATCCATCATACAACTGAACATTACGTTCAGGCCATGGAGAGGCCCATAATTTAGCCTTATGTTTGTGAGAGACCCAATGCAACCATTACAGTCAGAATAAATTTTGCCTTTCTCACACTCTCTACCTCTCTCCTTACCAATATATGTTAGGAGAATGGACCTCCAAAAAGACAGCAGAAATAAACCTAATGCTTATAAGAAATTTTTTTTTGTCTCAAAAAATAACAAAAAAAGAGAACACCGATTTCATGTACCATTTTTCCCCTCGGCTATGACTTTCATCTCTACGTAATACAAAGAAAGAAAAATCCTCAACATTTCTGTTATGGAGCCTACAAGGAGAGAGAAAGCAACACTGTTCCATTTTTCTTTCCCTCACAAACTGGTAGATTTTTCTCTCTTGCTTGTGGTCACTCAGTTTATAAATATTCTAATTTACTGTTAGGAAGAAAATATATGTTTGCTTGAATTGTCTAAAAACCAAATTTTATTGTTCTTTACCCCTAGACCTAGAGCATAAGCTCATAAGCAGATTGTAGCTAGCTGACTGTTTTCAGAAAGAGAAACAGCATTCTTAGGAGTAGGCGACTGCAAATATGCAATTTAAAAAGTAAGTAGGAAAGAGACTTTCTAACATTTTAACCAATAATAGTAGACAGAATCCCATTAGCTTAAAAGAAGTATATAGTTTTGAAGATTCCCAATTTCACCCTCATTTCTGAGCTTTCTGAAACTGGCAGGCCGATGTATGACTGCTATACTGACATTCAAATTAAATGTAAAAAAATTAGGGCACAATTGGTAAGTCCAGTCAACATCTGTCAGAAGTGACTTTATATTAACCAAGATTAGGGTGGTAACTCTCTGAATAGCTACTGAGGTATACTGGGAATGGTCATTTTCTATATTTAACTGTTTTCAATACCTAACTGTTTTTAATATCTACCTGTTTTCAATATCTAAACTGAATTTTGCATTACTGGAAAAATCACTGAAAAACAGAAAACAATATAAACTAAATGGTTTAGACTGCAGCATTATTAAAGCTCTTCATGTGGAAAGAAATTAACAGTGCTCATAAAAATTGCATCAGACGCACTTAAGAATCCCAACTACGCTCTGTGAACATGTTTAGGCAGAGCTCTGAACATGGGTGCAGTTTAGAAACTAGAGGGTGCAGATGTGCTTGTTCCGCAGTAAGAATTCGGAAAATTGGTAGAGTGTTATGAAGTGACTATGAGCATTTTCTTATTAAAAATTGCCCAATGTTTTCTAATCAGGGTCGCACCTGGGTTTACCTCAGTGTTTTATCCCTTAATTTGTACTTTCCCCTTCCACCCATCCTCCCATCTCTGTCACACTCCTTTGTTAGACACCTGGCCTGCCTCCCTGCTTCTGCATGTGCTATGCACACACCCTGGGCCCTCACACTCTCGGTCCACCTGGCTGTCAGGCTCCAGATTCAGCCTAAGTGTCTTTCATAAAAGAGACTTTTTTGTAACCCTAAGATGAATTAGGTGCCCCTTTGCTATGTTTCCACAACTCCCTACATATCCTGCTATTAAAGTATTAGTCACCCTGTAGAATAATTGCTGGTTTATGGATCTGTCTCCAGTTTTAAGAGGCTAATATGAGAATAAAACTTCTGGGGGAAAAAAATTCAGTCTGCTGGTTACTCTGAGTTTTTCCTTTTGAAGTCTATCTACAGGATGAGGCGCAAGTAGGTTTATAGTTGTTTGTATAGAAAATAATATAATTGATAAATAATGCAAGAATAAATTCTGTGTTTTGCATACTCACAACTGTAAACCTACTTTTGCCCCACCCTGTATATTTCATTTTACCATATTTCTAATAGATTTGCAGTGGTCAGCACTAGAAAGCACCAAAAAGTTGGGAAACATCAGCTGTTAATAAGCTTTTTAATTTCATGATAAAGAGTATTTTCACATTGCCTATCAGAGATAAATGCTCTTATGGCAGTTAAGCTGGCTGATTCTTTTCTCTTTCAGGCCTCTGAGGTCATTACTATTGGCCTTAAAAGTTAAGGGTGATGTCAGATAATCACACAGAAGCACAGCCTCTACAGCAAGGCATTAACCAGATAATCAAATGGCTCAAAAATCTTTTTGAAAGTATTTTTAATTCTGAGAAGGTGATAACCATTTTTTAGCTTTGTGGGGACTAAATAATAAATATGGTGATTATCTATCATACTTCACTACGTGAATCCATACCCATCTGATTTCATTCCTGGTTACTTCAGACTTTGTCAGCCTCCTTCCCTTTCCCTTTCTCCCATGTTTACTGAGCACCTGGCACATGGTAGGCTTTAAAAAACTTGCATATGGATAAATCTTTGGTATTCAAAGACCACAAGCATGAACCTCCTTTGGGAGCTTGTTTGAAAATGCAGATTCTCCTTCCGATGCAGAATCTGCATTTTCTTCCAGGTAATTCATATGCACTGGGAGCAGCACAGGGAGAAATTGCTCAATGAAAGCCAGGGAACTGGATGGGAGCTCATCTAAATTGAGAGATAATGAGAACCTGAAATGGAAAATTGCAGCTGGAATATTGGAGGATATTGAAAAGACCTGATGTGTTTCTTAGGAGCTTTGTGAATCCCTGTCCCCAAACTCCCCAACCCATCTAAAGAATAGCTGCTTAAACATCCGTCATCCACATCCTGGAAGAAAAAAATGTGAAAAAAAAGTCAAAAACTTGGAAATGGGCATAGAGGTTACTGCAGATCCTTTCAATGGATTGCTGGGCACGGACCAGAGGATCCTCTCCAGAGTCCCCTGGGTTATTTGATTCTACAGGGGTGTGAACCTTAATTGCCTTTGACTAAGCTATTTTACAATGTGGTAGGGACAGAACATAAATTGTAGGAAACTGATAACAATGCAAATAATTCTTCTCTATAAACAATGCAAATGAATTTTTGTCCAGTAGGAAATATAAATATTTATAAAGCAAATTCTTTTTTGAACCAGTTTTACCTTCTTACTGATTCCCTCATTAATTAAAGAGTTAAATAAAATCATTGGTACATGTTCATTTAATATT